CTGTGTGGGGATGAATTGTTTGAGAATGTGATGGTTCAGTGGTTAGGTTAAGGTGGGATAGGCTTCCCTGAAGAGAAGAGTCTTCAGGGAACGCCTAAAGACAGTCAGGGTGGGAGATAGACGGACAGGTTGAGGTAAAGAGTTCCAGAGGATGGGAGAGACTCTAGAGAAGTCCTGGAGGCGAGTATGGGAGGAGTTGACTAGGGAGCTGGAAAGCAGGAGGTCTAGGGAAGAGCGGAGTTAGGGTTAGGGTGATATTTTGAGACAAGGTCTGAGATATATACGGGGGCAGAGTTGTGGATGGCTTTATAAGTGACTGTTAATATTTTGAATTTTATCCTCTGGGCGAGTGGAAGCCAGTGCAGGGATTGGCAGAGGGGGGTTGCAGACACTGAGCGGTTGGTCAAGTGGATGAGTCTGGCAGCTGCATTCATGATAGACTGAAGGGGGGATATCCTGTGTAGTGGAAGGCCAATGAGGAGGGAGTTGCAATAGTCAAGACGAGATATAACAAGTGAGTGGATGAGTAGTTTTGCGGTTTCTTTGGTGAGGAAGGGGCGTATTTTGGAGATGTTACGAAGGTGAAGGCGGCAGGATTTGGATAGTGATTGGATGTGTGGAAGAAAGATGAGGTCCGAGTCAAGGATGACACCTAGGACCTTGGCATTGGAGGAGGGGTGGATAGTTGTGTTATCAATCTCAACTGAAATGTTGGGGGAAGATGCACGGGCAGGAGGAAATATCAAGAGCTCAGTTTTTGAAAGATTGAGTTTTAAGAAATGTTGTGACATCCAGACGGATATGTCCGTTAGTAGAGTAGTGACACGAGAGGACACAGAGGGGTTGGGTCTACTTCTTATTCAATCCTAATGTACTTGTATGGATCCTGGACTGTAGAACTCCTAATGGGTAGTACACTGGGTGCAATTCTCAGTATGTTATTATGTCTGCATAGACATTGCACTGTAGCACTTATGTCCTGTATGGTGGATGAATTTCTCACTATATGTTATTTCTGTACAGATAACTACACAGAAGCACTTCTGTCTTATATGCGGAGTGAAATTCTCTGTAAATTTTGTGACACAATTGCTGTTGCGCAGTAGCACTTCTGTTGGCTATGCGTGGGTTAAATTCTCTGTATTCCTGGTGTATATTAGGTCTGTTGGGTGTTGGACAGTAGCACGTCTCATGTCTTTTTTTATTGCTATGTCTAAATCTTAGCATATGTTATTCTTTCTGTTTGGGAGCTGCACAATAACACTTTTCATGTCCTTGGTGTAATTCCAGCCCAGAGCGATAACCAGAGGACCGAGAGTAAAACTTAAAGGAGAACTATGGGGTTAGGGCTTTTCCCCATAGTTCTCGGTTAAGGTCTGGAACTCACTGCCATCGGCAGTGATTTCAGCCAAGAGTGTAGATTTGTTCAAGAAACGTTTGGACAATTTCTTGAGGGACCGTAATATCCAGGGATACCAGTATCCCTAAGAATGAGATGATGCGTGGACCTATATGGGTTGGACTTGATGGACGTATGTCTTTATTCAACCCCAAATACTATGTAACTATGTAACGGGAGGACACAAACTAACGTCCTCCCGTCACCTAAAGCTGCAGCTCGCAGTATACTGAGACGCCGCAGCTGAAACGGATCCCGACAATTATGTCTGGATCCGCCCAGCTGCGTGAGTGACAGCTGGCTCTGCCTATCTAGAGGCAGAGCCAGCTGTACTCGCCTCCTCCCCCGTCCGTTCCGCCAGTCAGCGCTGGAGGATAGGACAGGAGGGGGGAATCCAGTCACTCCCCTGCGGTAATAGATCGAGAAGTGAGCGAACGCCGGTATGTGTTCGCTCACTTCCCGATCTACTAAGCCGACCTGTGACAGTTTCATAGTCACAGGTCGGCTCAGATTATGAGGCTGAGTGCAAAGCACTGACCTCATAATTCTCCTTTAAGGAACATATTGGTAGCATTAAAAGGAGTTGACAAAAAGGAGGGAACAACACATAAAGGAGAAAACAAAACAGAGGACCGACGAACTAGAACATAAACTTTGATAATAAATATAGTTGCAATATACAAGGATGTTTGGAACCTCATGAGGAGGTATTAATAGAGCAATTTTAGTGTATAGCGATAGTGGAAACCTCCTCGACGGTATCAACGGAAAAGAGCATCAGCCAGTTAGATACTGGTGTGTATATCCATGTCTTCATTTAGTCCCATAGGGGCTAAATATTGGATATATATCCAATATGCTTCCCCTCTGCATAATCACTGGAAGCGTTCTAATGAGAAGTGTTCTGGGATGAGCTTAATAGCAAAATCTTGGAGGTCCTCAATCTTTTTATGTTTTAAGGTAAAATGTCGGGGGAGTTATGGTCTAGCAGATCCTTTTCCATAAACCTTCTGTGGTCACCTATCCTTTTCCTAAGGGTGCAGATGGACCATCCTAGGTATAGCATACCACAGGGGCACTTTAGGCCATACACCACATGGTCATGGGAGCAGGTGATGAAAGGTCTTACAGGATAGGTATTGTTGGAATTGTGAATTCCGATTGGCCATGTTGGATAAATTGACAAGTTAAGCATTTTGGCTTTTTACATTGAAAAGGTGCCTTTCCTGTTATTTAAAAGGAAATGGTTTTTGGCTAGTTTGGGTACATTTACAAGGAGCTAGTATGTTTTTGATGTTTCTAGCTTTTTTAAAGATGACAGAAGGTTTAGATGGAAGAAACAGACATAACTTGGGGTCACTAAGTAGTATATGCCAGTTTTTACGAATGGCCCATTGTATGGCTTCATGACTGAGGTTGTATGTGATTTGTGGGGGTTTCTTTTCTGAGGTCTTCCCTTCTTTTTGTTCTTGGGACCCTTGGTGTCTAAAGATTCAAAATATGCTTCATGTATCACATTATCTAGATATTTTATTCTCCCTAAATTTGTTTTTGAGATGTGTAATAAGTACCATATAAACCTGGATAGCTGTGCAATTTTTCCTTAAGTCTACAGACTAGACCGTTAGTGCATTGTGTTTTCTCCACGGATGGTGGCAACTGTTGAAATGTAAATAGGAGTTTCTTCCTGTGGGAAAGTGATTTTTGGTAATTATTTGGTTCCATTTATGTGAAAGGTCTAGATCAAGGGAAATCAAATTGGCCGGATCAAAAACACAAGTCAAAGTGAGACCTTACTCATTTCCATTACAGTGGGACACTAACTTCAGGATATTCTCTGGGGGTCCATCCCGGACGAGGATTAGGTCATCGATGTATTGCCCATAAAAAAAAACTAGATGTTTGGCAAAAGGGTTATTTTTCCAGATGTGGAAGTGTTCACAATATCCCATGATTAAATTGGCATAGCTGGTAGCATAGTTGGCTCCCATGGATTTGCAGATAAAAGGTGTTCAAAAACAAAAAGTAATTATGTTCCAAGGTAAAGTTGGTGCAATCGATGATGAAGCGGGCTTGCCTATGGTTCAAAGCTGAAGTTCGGGATAAAAAAAGTATTGCAATGCATAGTCACACTTTGTGGGAAATGGAGGTGTATAAAGAATTAATGTTTAGTGAAAGAAATCCCCCAGAAATTATGCAAGTATCTGGATAAGGTGACCAGAATTCCTTGATGTAGGAAAGAAGTGTCACAAGCGGTTGAAGAAAACTGTAAATGTTCATAGATAGAACACTGGTAAGAGTGTTTCTGCTGTTAATAAATGGGACACCCTAGAGGATTAAGACCATCTTTATGAATTTTTGGAAGATGGTAAAAAGTATGGGGTATTGGGGCAATCTGGACACAAGAACACCTTCTCTTTCTTTGAGATCATACCCTCTCTGAGAGCGTGCTGTTAAAATTCTTAGGTCGCTGGAAAACTGTGCCAATGGATCTGTGCAGTTTTTTGTATGTAGAACAGTCAGATAATAATATAAGTGCTTCTTGAATGTAATCATCCTAGTTCTGAATGACTATGCCCCCCCCATCAGCATGTTTAATGATGATGTCTTTGTTGGACGAAAGGCCTTTCAACGCTTTCACCTCTGCTGGATTGAGACAAGTTGAGCTACCTATCCTAATAATACAATTCATCCACACACAGCTACCGCCTCATGTATCTGGTCTCTCCCTTGTAAGCCGTCAAGGGCAGGGCCCTCCTTACCATCTTGTCTTGAATTGTATTGCGATTGTAATGTCTTCCTTATATTGTGAAGCGCTGCGCAAACTGTGGGCCCTATACAAATCCTGTATAACAACAACATTTAACTGCTTTAAGCCCTTAATGACCGGTGCCCTTTTTACCTTTTTTTGCACCCATGTTATAATCCACATTTTAGGCCTGAAAAACACTTCAAACCCCCAAACATTATATATCTTTTGAAAGCCAAGACCCTATAGAATTCAATGGTGGCTGTTGCACATTTTTATGTTGCACGATATTAGCGCAACTTATCATCAAACCCAAAAATGTAGTGAAAAATGCACTCAAGGTCAATTTATTGCCCCAAAACACAATAAAAATATGATTTTTTTAAAAATAAAATATAAAAGATGAAGTTACCACGGGTAAATAGATACCCAACATGACCAGGTTAAAAATTGTGTGCATCTGTGAAACGGCGACAAAATTCAGTACCCCAAAAGCCCCTAGAGCTCATCAATTTCGAGATGCACATAAATATTGGCCCTACCAGTAGCGTACAATGTATGTCACTGGTCGTGAAGGGGCTAATCGTTTTTAATATCTAAAATTGGATATGTGATCCCTGTTATTATTCAAACTGCAAATTGTATTTTTATTTGCAAAATACAATATTTTATTTCATATACCTAAAACTGAACAAAAATATTTTTTTATTTGAGAGTCGTCATCAATCCTCCCCTCATTTACTATACTTAAAAATAACATTTAAACATAAATTACATAAGAAAAGAATATATACCAAGTGTGTTTACAGATGTAAATAAAAGTTGAAGCCTTAAAAATTAAACAAAAAAAAAGTTAGCAAGATTTTAGTCTTATTTTGGAGAGGTGCTTAGTTCTGCCGCGTCAAACAGGTTGCTCATGTGCAAATTAAAAGCAATATCTTCATTCTTATACTTTTGTATACTTGTGTGCAGGCTGTTTATGAGATCTCGTACAGATGACGAGTGGGAGTGTGCACCACTCATCAGAGAATCCGGTTTGGAATGCAGGGTGCTGTCTGTTGAAGGCTTATGTGGAGAATGGACTACAATAGCACTTTCTAGAGCCCCTTGTAACGATGTATTGGGAAGATACAGAGGAAGGCTAAGCGATATATCTAGAGGTTCCTCCTCAAGCAGGTGCTGTAGCTTTTCATTGAATCTGAAAGAAGATCGTGCAGTGTCAATAGCATATCAGTTACCACAATCATTTCATAGAGCATAAAATCAGATTACACATAAAAGTGGTTTTGTATATTATTTGCTTTAGTATGATCAGGATTGAAAACTATAGTTCAAGGAGGACTATGAGGTGAGTGAAGATAACTCGTCCTCATAGTTCGAGCTGACGTATGACAATGAAACTGTCACACGTTGGGTCAATAGATCGTGAAGTGATCGAACACATACCGTCGCTCGCTCACTTCTCGATCGTCTCCCTGCAGTCAGCGGGGGCGGTCAGTCACCGCTCCCTGCAGGGATTCGCCCCTCTGCGATCGTCCAGCGCTGACTGGTGGAATGGACGAGGGAGGGGGCGGGTACCGCGGGCTCTGCCTCTAGATAGGCAGAGCCTGCTGTCATTCACGCAGCTGGGTAGATCTCGCCAGCATTGTTGGGATCTGTCCCAGCTGCGGCGGTCTCAGTATACTGCGAGCTGTAGCTCGCGATATACTGAACTTTGGGTCATGGGAGGACGCTAGTATATGTCCTCCCGTGACCCTTAAGAGAACTATGGGGAAAACCACTTACCCCATAGTTCTCTTTTAAGTTTTCTTTATATAGATTACATAACAAATGTTGCATTCAAATATTTTGTATCTCACGTGCCCCACTCAATATGGCCGCCGATTGAGTGGGCAACTCAGAATAATAACGTGCTGGATTAGTGTGATCCTAGTTCATTTTATTACTTCATTGCTGTGCTGTATGTGTATAGGGCAATGCCTTGGCTGGCGCTCGTGCAGAAAGTTTCTTGGGCAAACTCACCGGCCCAAGTGGCTCCGTCGGCTAACGAAGGGAAGGGGGGGGGAGGAGTACAGTGACGTCGATGTACGATGGGGACCGATAAAGGACTGCCATTGATGGCCCTGATATTACCTCTCAGAAACTCCAATAATTAGATATCTCAACCAGGATTGCCAGTTCTGCCCAACAGTTGTACAGTACATAGTAAGATGATCAACAGTACAACAGTACAACAGTACATAGTAAGATGATCATTGGGCTCCCCTGATGCTAACCGCATTAATTATGACCTTGTAGGAGGGGATGGAGTAAATTGGGGGAAATTTATGGACAAACTTCATTAGTCTGCATCCAAAAATTGCTGACATGTTACAATATACAGCAACAGGCTTTTCTGTTAAAAAACAGTGCTTGTGCTCCAGACAACTGACCTTAATTAAGCTGAGATATAGGCAGGAGAAAGCTTTTCCTCATTGCCTCTCTCCCAGCGATCGTATGTTGTAACTGTGGCTCCATCAGCTAACGAAGGGAAGGGGGGAGGAGTCCAGTGACGTCACAGACATCGACGTCACCGCACTCCTCCCCCCTTCCCTTCGTTAGCCGATGGAGCAACTTGGGGAAGGAGTCCGGTGGCATCGATGTCCGTGACGTCACCGGATCTCCGACGGAACCCCCGGAAGCCGGCGGAGAGGTGAGTACAGATCAAAAGAATTTTAATCGGTCAAAAAAATTAACGATTAATCAAGGAATTAAATCGTTAATTTCCGCAGCCCTAGTTAGTTATAGGTAATCATTTTGCCTTGGGCCTTATCTTTTAAAATATAACTTGTATGGGGGAAGATAATCAGTCCAGGGCAAGCATCGTTCTCTGCAGGAAGATGGGAGTCCTGATCTGATGAAGCTGACCTCTACCCACTACAAACCATACTGTCCCATGCCTGTACAGACAAGGCCGACAAGCCAGCTTTCTTCTGGACACAAGACCCCCAAAAATCCATTTGTAGTTATAATTAAATAACAAATTCTTACTTTTCACTCTCCTGTTTCTCAGCTAACAACGCACGATTCAGTCGTGACTGAAGAGAGTTCAGACTGTCTAAATCCTTCTGTGTATTTTCGTTTTGTACCACAAAGGAAGACTCCAGAGACTGAGATTGCGGTAAGATGCTCCTCTTTTTGCTTGTGGAACTGTTGTGATGGGAGCAATAGAATAACAGCTTAGCATACGTTCCCTAGTAACCACAATATTGTTAAAGAGACCCTGTCAACAACTTAAAAAATGCAGGTAAAAAGCACAGAAAATAAATCAATCAATCAATCAGCTTGCAGTGTTTTTCCTTTCCATAAATAATTTTCTATTCACTTGCAATGGGCCTTTGATCTTGACAACAAGTTCGACTACTTTAGGAATAGTCAGTTCCCCAAGCACAGCTTTCTCCCTCAGATGATAGCCCTCTCCTCTTCAATGGCCTGGACAGGAAGGGGGTTTAAGTGGTTAACACTTAGGGGGTTAAGTGGTTGACTTCTAAAACCAGGTGAAATGATTCCATGGTCCTAATTTCTCAAAGCCTCAAACATTGCAGCCTAGGATTTTTATAGACAACGAATTCAGCTTGTTTACAAAGAAACCACTTAACACAAACCATAAAACTAACTGCAACACTAAGGGCCTGTTCACACCATATACAGTGCTGGCCGGAACGCACTGCATGGCATTGTGGCCGGCTCCGTATTTCGTGGGGCTGGAGGGGGCGTGTCTGGCCATTGAAGTGAATGGCACTGTAGCCACGCCCTCCGCCCGCACGGGATCGCAAGACACATTGTGCCTGCGGTCCGGTGTGATGCAGTCAAAATAGTGCTTGCAGCATTTTGACCGGACCGCAGGCGCAATGTGCCCTGCGATCCTGTGCGGGCGGAGGGCGTGGCTTCTGCACCATTCACTTCAAATGACCTACCAGGCCCCCTCCTGCCCGGCAAAAAAGAGAGACGGCCGCTATGCCAGAATCTGGCTGGAACGCACTGCATATTATTACATAGTATTTATGTAGCGCTAACAGTTTGGGCACAATATAAGGAAGGCCCTCAATCCTGCAGTATAATAAAAAAAATATATAATAGTTATATGTACAAAGCCTTACTCAAAAGCTCACTATTAGCTCACTATTATTAGCATTATGGTCCTACTAAGTGAACTCGCCAAGCGAAATGCCACAATTACCTTCTTATGCCTCCAAGTGCACAAAGTTCCTTTATTCAAAGATCTAGCATCAGTCATGGTTAAGGTGTCATAATCCTTAATATTTTATGGCAATGCCATCTCTACAACCCACAGGAACCCGTATCAGACATATATGACTGATAAACCCAAGAATAAAGCCTGTAGAGCAATAATGGAAAAGGCAAGGAACACAAATGAAGGGAAAGGACTGCTACAGATAAAAAAAAAAAAATGTTTCTACTTTAACCCCTTCGTGACGGGAGACGTACAGTGTACGTCCTGTCACTTTGTGCCTATATGACTGGCCACGTACACTGTACGTGACGAGTTATATCAGGCTTTGTAATGCCGGTATTTGCTGATTCTCAGCATTTAACAGTCATTCATTAATGTCTCAGTATTGAGGCATTAATTAATGAAATAATTAAGCTTTTTGTAAAAGCTTCTTCCTTTCATTAATGAAAGAATGAAGCTGTTACATGCAAATAGAGGACCACAATTTGCAATCCGTATTTGACAGCTCAAAATAGCAGAGAGGCAGCAGTGACTCACCTCACCTCTCTGCTATTTGTTTTGACAGCTTGAGAGCCCGATGTTTAGATACATTTCACTCAAAAGGTACAATGTATATCTTTTGAGTGAAATGTATCAGTTCTGATCATCTAGGCACGATCAAAGAGCTTTTAGTGAGATCTGAATCTGACTAAAGTCAGGATCAGTCTCTAAGGTTATTATTAGCTGTTCCTAAGTTTGGATCAGCCTAATAGCCAAAAATAAAATAAAAAAGTTAATTTATCAAGCTGTCATAGTGATTGCTTGATATAAACTGACAAGAAAAAAAAAAGTTTTTTTATTTTATTTTTATTTTTTTTACAAAGTGTAAAAAAATTAAAATAAAGTGTAAAACAAAATTAGGAAAATATAAATTATATATAAATATATTTTTTATACTATAATTAATATAAAAAAATTCTAAAAAAAATAATAATCAAAACTTGTGAAAAAGTGTTTTCTTCTAGTTTTTTTCCTAATTTTTTTTATTTTATTCAAACTAAGTGAGGGGTTAGGTACACATATGTGATATAATTATATAGCCCTATCTGTCCTCTAAAAAACAATATATAATATGTGTGGGTACATTTAGTAAGAAAGTATATTACTGCTGTGAAAGAATCACACAGCAAAAATGTTAAAAAATGTGTCAGTCATTTATGAACAGAACCTGAAAACTAGCTCAGTCATGAAGGGGTTAAAGTAAACCTTTTTTAGGCAGAGATATAAAGATTGCCATTGCAGAGTTTCTGAGAATACTAGCTGCCTGGGTGTCTTGAGCTTAAGTACTTTAACTTACCCTAAACAAGCATGCAGCAAAGGAAGTCAGTACCCCATGCAATAAGAATTTTCATAAGCACAAGTCAGCAAAGCAGCCAACTTAATTCTCTCAGTACAGACTTCCTTTTGCCTTTCCTATTACATGAAATCTGCTGACCGATTGATGTACACTAGCCAATTATTTCACTGCAGCTTACCAACACTGCTTACCTTTCATTCCCCTCCTCTTCAGATAAAAGAAACTGACTGAGATGCGAGTGAATAGACTTAACCTTTTCAACTTCTTTCTGTGCATTTTTCTCACGTGTCAGAGACACCAGTGCCATTTGAGATGGCTGCAATTTACGCTTCCTTCTGCATAAAACACTAGAGAGAAGCATGGCACAGTGGTTAGATCAGATATTTACAGTAATGGTGTACCAGATTTGCATCTGCATAACTGTATTCTATAGAGTTATTTTTATAGAATAGGCCTATTACTAAGGATGACTAGGGTGCCTGCTCAGCCAACCACTTGGAACCAAAATAATAAAGTGTTAATGTGAAACATTAACTTCAGTTTATATTAACTTCAGATGTTGTGGGATACTATCTAAATCCATTGACAAGCAAGTCAGGGAGACAAGTGTAGGAAGTGCACCATTAATTCACAATGGAGCAGGGGAATGCAGCAAGATGTATCACTACCATCGTTCTCAGAAGCCATTAGCTTTTATCAGAATAGATAGGATGCAAATTTTAGTGCTGTGCATTCTGACACAATATCATCTCAGCGGCAATGTTGTGCTATAATTGCAGCATAAGTTTTCTTTTAATTGTGATCATATTCTTTAATCATTATGGTATAACTATGGGTTAAAACCAAAGTGAACCTATACTCCATTTTACACTGTTAAAAAGTCCTAGGTTGTGGGGAAATGGGTGCCTTATCCTACATATGGGGGTTCTGCCCCCCCCCCCCCCCCACAAAAAAAACAACTATTTAATAATTA